AACGTATCCATATTTATACATTTATAAATTGCTATATTTTTGTATTTGGTACGTACACGGTTATATCTATACACTTATATACATATGTATGTCTATTTATGCCTACTTTATCTTTTGAATGTTCATAAATAACTGTATAACAAAAAACTGAATGTCGATTGAGTTCTGCGATTGCCGATTAGACTGGGTTGAGAAGGGCCTGGGCTATCATCACGCAGAGTCACTTGTTGTCCAAGTATAAGATATAGGTTGTATTTGTACTGTTGGGTATAGAGTGTCTACTTTACATGTGCTCTGTAGACCCTCGGCAAACCGAGCTGCTGAATGCTAACTGTGACGGTCATCTTGGTCGGACAGAAGTGAAGGTTCCCACGGAGCTGCTATGATATATTCGATGTGAGCATGCTTGTATTAGATGCATATTTCAGACTAATGCTATCTTAACGCATACGTGAGATCATGTATGTTCCTGTGAACTATCTGTATATCGCTCATATACTCGCACCTTTGTGTGTGTATTGGACGGTTGTTCATGAGGAAGCAGGGCTAGCTGTGTCGGGTTCACTGGGTGCTACTTCTCTACCACTACTGTGCAATAAGCCACATCGACTGCAAGCTGCGTAGAACAAGCCAGTATGTCCAACTAGTGAAACACACCGCCAAATGCCCTCACTCTGCTGAATTGTACTCTGTCCTCTATTCATTAATACTGAACTGTATAATAACATCGCTCTGTCTGTTATTGAATCCGTACCATCTGATCCGTACGGCTGTATGCAATCATAGGTGGGCTGGAGTGGAGGGCGTGATGCTGTGTACATGTGCAAAGGCTTCAAGCAACTGCGAAGCCATCTGTGCGGACAGTTCCCCAAGGAGAAGGACGCTATATACAAGTACTTTGACGAAATCTTCCAGGCGTCTAAGGTATATAAGTGTAAACGTATTGATATAGATAGGAATGATCGCATGGGTGTACCGAATGATTGATCATGTTTGTCTAAGTGTGCACGAGACTTTCCTTCCTATCTCTTGTAATGACGGATCGTACAATGCCGAGCTGCGAAGAGAAACAGAAACGGGGGTTTACACAAGCCTTGTAGAAGCGATTCCCTCTTTAATTGTCTAGCATGCGCTTGTGCTGCGCACTCTTCTTATTGGACACTTCCGTTTGTCTCTTATACGTGCGCATCATACTAATCCTCTATGTACATGTATATCTGATGACATGATCATTTGCCTATACTTTGGTCATCATACGCTCCCTCTACGTACGTGTATATCTGATGATTTGACTACACTTCGACCATCAGGGTGCTAAGGCCATGATTATGATGAAGATCATGCCAAACTTTATCTATTCCAAGTGCGCTGAGTACTTCGATAAGCTCTACGGAGAATACGGCACACGAAGTGTCATAGATGTCATGCAGGAGTGCGGACTCTCTAATGAAACGATTGGCATGGTATGTATGTGCGTATAGTGTACTTAGCCAAATATACAAACAAACAACACACACACACACACACTTATATATATATATGTATTATATATATATATATATATATATATATATATTTATTGATATATTTATATATCCATCTATGTATCTATATGTGAATGTAATATATATTTGTACATTTGTATATTTGTATAATTATATGTAGATACATAGATACATATGCATATACATAGACACACATGCATACATAGGTTTGGATGATTTGTGTGCGTGAATTATCACGGATATCGCTATAGAGCTCTCCGATAAAACAGTCACATTGAGAAGTGTCTATGTGGGTGTGTCGCATATAGTCTTCTTAAGCCAACTCATATGACTGCGTATCTAGTTGGGTGAAAGCATCCGCACAATGCGAGCGTGTTTATGTGTCTCGTGAAGTCTTTTTGTCCAGCCAAGAAGTCAGTCTACATCACCGCGATGCATTCATGCGGGGACAAACACATACATGGCGCCCAAGGAAGCGCCGTGTATTACATCAGGCGTGAGATATTCCATTCACGTGTGTGTTTGATAAAGTAGGTAACATTCGTTTCATGGAGTGTATGTGCCAACATTCAGCGATGATGAGTTTGGCTCTTAAGGGGATTGTCTGCTGTATTCTCCGAGAAACTCACACCCACCCGGCTCGCCAATCAAATCACTTGTATAGTGCTCGTGTTGTGCTGCTTTCATATAAAGCCCCAATGTAACATCTTTCCGCCCACACAAATGTCCGCATAGTGCTCGTGTTTTGGTGCTTTCATATAAAGCCTGAGTATATCAACTTTTAAGCCTTGAGTATATGAATCATGATTTGGACCAAAACATATCCGAAGTAGCTCAGATGGGAGAGCATTCGACTGAAGATCGAAAGGCACCAAGATCGATACTTGGCTTCGGCAGATTTTTTTTTGAAAGATTTTTTTTTCCATGGTTGCTTAATAGCTCTAAGCAAATGAATGACTGTGTGCAGCCATTTGACCTCTTATACAGCAAACATGACCCCCCAGAGATTAGAATTGTCGTTAATGAGTAGTCAATATTTGTCAACTAAAATATATGCCAGGTAGAAGTGTGAGCCTTCAGACAGCAGACATGAGCCATATAACAGCAGACCATGTAGTATCCGTCTTAGACTTGCCATCAACGAGTAGTCGATATTTCACAACCAAAATATATTCCAGGTAGAAGTGTGTTGATCGGTATATATACGCCTATAAAATGTGACCAGGCCCGCTATATGACTATCTATCGTCAAGGATGGCTGTATATAGTAAGTATCATCATTTGCTTCAGTGTGTATTTTACTTGGATTTATCCTCAACGTATACACACCAGCACCATTGCACAAAGGGTTCTACCTACTCTTACTATATCAAACAACCTTCATACCATCACGCGAACATAAAGACGTGCCTAAGAGTCTCTCTACTTGCCCGTTTCAGCTCACCTACAACTGGGGCGACTTCGGAACGCTGCCGTCCAAAGCACCGTTTCTTCTGCACGCTTTGCATATCATGCATTGGATGAAGGGTGGATGGTTCCCAGTGCATGGACCAGGTATTAGTGTTCATACGAGCGATTTATAGCTGTCACGCGTGGATATACATATTCATGCATACGTAGCTATACCTGAGATTCCCAGTGCATGGACCAGGTACTGGTGCTCATACGAGTGATTTATAGCTGTCACGCGTGTGTATACATATGCATGCATATGTAGCCATACTTGAGATTCCCAGTGCGTGGACCAGGTATTGGTGTTCATACGAGTGATTTATAGCTGTCATGCGTGGATATACTTATGTGTGCATATGTAGCTATACTTGAGGTTCGCTGCTTCTAGCCCTCCCCCACCCTTCTATACTCCCGCTCCCCACCTTACTCCCTTAAGATTGGGTGAGTCATTTGGGGGCAGGTGAAAAGCCTGTGGTATACTTTTCAAACCCGAAAGCGTTGAGTATGTGAGCTTCCTTCTGCTATTGAACTAATACGCTTTTGAAGTTTCCGTTCAAATTCTTGCCAGTTGTATACAATGAAGTTGCGTTTCCTTCTCATGTTGAGCATGTCTTTTATTGTAGGAAAGGAAAGCATAAAATTATGACAAACTGTTCTATTGTCAATATGAAACTCTGTGCGTAGCCCACTCAAGTAGAGTATAAACAGATAGGTTGTAGATGATCTAGGCGTGGTGTGTGATATTAGCTCGTTGATTGTCCAAAGACCTTTAATGCGTAGTTAAGTTAAGTACTGATACTGTCCTGTGCATAGGCCACTGAAGTAGAGTATAAACAGATAGGGTGTAGATGATCTAGGCGTGGTGTATATTCATAGCTCGTGGATGGTCAAAAGACCTTTAATGCGTAGTGAGGTAAAGTACTGACTGCGTGCTGTGGGGATGTGGTTCGGCTATCTAGAGCATAGATACCATTAAGCTGTGATGTAGAAGTAGGTGTTGTCTTTACAAACGGCTCGGGTGAGGTTTCAAATGCGGTATTCGCTGAAGGGTTTAGGGTTTTTAACCCTTGCATATACAGGCCATGTTTTAGGGGTTTTTAGGGTTTAGGGTTCTGCACACACCTTAATACAGGCACACACGTAATGGTGTAGAACGTAGGACCCCAACCGCAGGTGATAAATCGGTGCTCCATACATCACTGATTGTGCACTGTGTCATATGCCGGTTCGTATGTTGCCTTGTGTACATTCTGTACACCACTGATTATGCACTGTGTCATATGCCGGTTCGTATGTTGCCTTGTGCACATCCTGCACACACCACTGATCATGCACTACGCCCTCGCCCGACTACACAGAACAAATCGCGATTACCATCCTGCCCACCATTGAGAAGCCTGGCGGCAAATGCTTTGTCAACGCCCGAGTGTCTGAGATTGTGCTGGATAAGAGTGGGGGGGTGGAGGGCGTGCTCATGAACAAGGGTCTCTTCATACCCACCACTAGGGTTGTCTCCGGAGTGGGGGCGTACAACACGTACACCAAGCTGCTCAGTGACAAGGCCACACTACCACCCCAGGTGAGTAGATTGGGTAAAGGCGGTAGTATCCGTGGGTGTTGGGTGTCGGGTGTGTATGTACATTTGTTGTAGCTTGTTGTTGTGTGTATGTGCACTTGTTGTAACTTGTTGTTGGGAATAGAGTTTGTGGTGGAGTTGCCTGGCATCTCAGTAGCCAAGACTGTACCTGGAATGTGGTCATGCAACAGAATACCTGCGTCATGCCCCCGCAGTAAACGGTCAAGACTTCCACCCCAGATGAGATGTTCTTGTACATTCGTGGCATGGTTGTGTGCTGTGCGTGTACTGTTGTATGTATTGAACGTATATGTAAACCCTAATGTTTGTGCCCTCTGTGTGTACTGTTGTATGTGTTGTAGGTATGCGTACATATGAGTTGTGCGAAGTAGTATTTATCTTTTATTTTTTGCATTTAGAGGTCGCCATGCATACAATCAAGGTCGTACACAAGACGGGGGCAAAAGGAGTCCAACCCACACAGCTCAGGTACAGGGCGTTAAAATGTCTGAAACTTACGAGATAATGGTTATGGACAGGCGAGTAGAACAAATTTGGTGTCTGTGTTGTACGGTTACACGAGCAATTGCTTTGATTCAACATTTCTTTTCCTTCAGTGGAATAGGCGCATACAGCTATCGCGGGAGGGCCTGAGATACATCGTATAGGTGCCGTGGAGAACTACCTACACAATACAATATGATGCACCCCAACTGCATCACTCCGACCATTGCTGTCCTTCCCAAAACACGGGGCGTTTAACCAACCAAACTCAACTCAAAACACCACACAGATCCGAGATACCCGCAACGCCCTGACCTCGCAAGAGCTGCCTCTGGGCGGTACCATGATGTCACTCTTCATCGGGTTGGAAGGGACTGTGGAGAGTCTGGAGGTGCCCAAGCACAACAAGTGGGTATTCCCGACTTGGGATCACGACGCAAACCAGAAACGCCAGGATGACGAGGGCCTGGATGCACCTTTTCCGGTCGTGTAAGTGTGTGTTGGTGTTGCGAGGTTAAAGGGAGGCGCTTGCTGATGGGTGTGTCCGTACCCCTGCGGTGTTGATGATTCTGGTGTGATATTGGATGGCCATGATCAGATAGGCAATGCATACGCTATATACTCACTTTGTATGGAAGTGTCAAATCATACTGCGGTTAGGCTATATCGGTTCCCGTGCATTAGGAATGAGGCGATGTGCGGGGCAGATCATAATCCTTGTACTCTTGATCGATAGGTGAACTACAGTCGTTCATTAGAATACGACTACTCGTCAACACAAGGATGCGCCTATTGCGCTCAATACACAGGCCACAGATCCTCACATGTGTGTCCTTAACTGTGCATTACCATGTATCGGTACTGTCTGTTCTCGCCTTGAATACTCTCCGTTTCATGTCTCTATCTGTGAACTACTAATGGTAATACATGTACATACCCTGAATAATTGCAGGTATCTTTCCTTCTCGTGTGCGAAGGATCCCAAGTGGGCCGAAAAGTACCCCGACACCTGCGTCGCGGAAGTGCTGGCACCCATCCCATATAGGTATGATGAAATGTTGTCACATGGCTGATCCAAAGCGCTGTATACATAAGATTGTATTTGCATTCTATTGATTCGATGTGTAGATTTTGAGGACATTTAGCTGGCTCACGTACATGCGTGCCTGTTATTTTAATAAATCGGTAGGAAGGTTGACATGGTAGAAATAAGCCGCAGTCACTCAAACCGTACATCCCGTTGTATTCACCTTTTAAAAGCATGTTCGAAGAGTTCGAGAAGTCCGTACACAAGAAGCGAAATGACAGCTACGACGCGCTCAAAGAGGTGTTCCAGGAGAAGATGATGGATGTTGTGTACAAACGGTTGCCTCAGTTTAAGGGCAAGGTTAAGTATGTGAACCTCGGATCCCCCCTCACCAATAACCACTACTACAACACGCACAAAGGGGAGGTGTACGCCTTGGACCACTCGCTGGTACGCTTCTCCGTGCACAACCAGAAGAACAGACTGCGGCCGACTACCGAGATCAGGGGCTTGTATCTGACGGGACAGGATGTATTCATGTGCGGCATTATGACGGCTATGTATTCCGGCGTTATGACTGTAGCTAGCATGTCCTGGATGGCTTTGTTCAAGAACTTAGATATTCTGCTGCGCAGGGTTCCGTCCGTGTACGGTGAGACGCGAGTGAAATCGGACGGGAACGAATATGGTGTGCTGAAGGATAGTGCCGTGTTCAAGATACTGATGGTGGTAATCTTCGCTATGCTGTTTCGGGCGCTTCTCGTAGGGTAGGGAGATAAAATATCAATGTGAGCAATACATTCTCATATTCTATCTGTATTTATCTAATTTGGCTTGCACTGATTGCTAGTCTTTAATTGACGTATCAGATTTCAAATAAACTGCCACGATTCACAAGGATTATGTTTACGCACACAGAATACTCGGATGTTTCCTGAATATCTTCAATACGACTATTGGCAAGCTACAATATACGTGCATGATAGATATATATTAAAATACTTGTCTGTTTCTCGTCTCTGTTAACTCAGTTGGTTAGAGTGCGGACCTAATAAGTCCGAAGTCACCAGTTCGAGCCTGGTACGGAGAATATTTTTCAATATTATTTGGGGCGGCAATTGGGCCAATTTCAGAGCGGTATAAATATGTTCTTCAAATATGCGTTTGTAATGGAAACATAGCCCTCTAAAAAGACAGGAAAGCATTTTCTCAATTTGTGTCGTAATTGTATCGATAAGTATTGTTGCTGCATATGTATCTGTCTTTCAGTTTTATTATTAGGGTCGTCCTTAACGGCAAGGTAAAGTGGTGCCACCGCATGTCGGAAGCAAGTGACTACACAAGCCTCCACCACTTTAGTCTTATTATGTACCAATGGCCTCCAATGTAATCGTCACTAGACCTTCGTCTATTGACTACCATTGTATTTTACTAGCTCTGCAGGTGCGCTGTCCTTTCGTCAAGTGCTTGATATCGCGCAAGCCACCCTTCATTTTAGCTACTGTGTTGTCTATTCGTTAACCGAGCCTCGCATTAACTCTTGGTGATAGTGCGAAGCGTCGTACTAAATTATTAAATTATCACATATTCCCAACGTGAGGTGGTCAGCATTTTTTTACATGACGAGATGTGACTACCCATTTGATGACAGCGGATACTATTCGTTTGCAACTTTTGCGCAATTTAGGCGGGTTTTCGGCCATGAAATACCTTAGCTCAACTTCAATGTTTGCATTGTCTTTCAGATGCGATCCATCATATTCATCGTCGTGGCCAATGTCTACAGGTAGGATTGTAGCACCCAGACAGTCTACAACCCGTATCTGCGGTGAGTTGCTGGATGGATGATATGTGTATGTCCAAGAACTACCATTATGAAAGCTGCCAATGCGATCTCGGAGGTCAACACTACTATACTCTTGTGTGGGCATTACCATTTCTGACCCGTGCATAACCTTCAACATTTTTGAGGGCATTGTACAGGATTGACTTGGGTGTCCAAGTCTGCTTGCGAAGTCTTGATCGGCTTCAAAGCGAGATTCGATACAGCGCGCAGAAGGACTCGGATTGGTCATCACTGGTTGAGTTGAGGATTGCTTACCTTTGTGTTTTTTAATTTGCATCCTGCACTCTAGTTGCCAATGGATGAGTGTGGAAAAATTATCTTGTGAGCGGAATATATGTTGAAAATTAAAAAAAGCTATGTCAGAATGGAAATATTACGAATGTACAACAAGAGAAGAGCTAAATACGCTTCCATCGAATTCAATATTCTTCAAGTATTGAGGTAAATATAGTATTTTTTTGCAAATTACAGGCTCTCCAGCCTCCGCAATAAGCCGCATTGCGGCATATTGCGGCATCTACTATCCACTTATCCTCTACTAGGTTTTTAGAGTGGCTGCTCAAAAGACTATAGAGAGTAGAGGAGAGTGAAAACCGACTCATCACAATTCACATAGCACTGATAGCAGTCTTATGAATCTACTCACATTTTAAAGGCATTCCGAAGGCCTGATCAGTTGATCACAGGACACACCGACTCAGTGCGAGTCTGTCAGACTGTGAGACTGTCAGACTGTGAGTGTGTGACAGTGTGACAGTGATCAGTGATCCACTGATCCCTGACCTTGGGGCTTGGCCGCTGCTTCACTACTCTTGTGAACACAAGTCTTGACTCACTGCACAGTGCACAGAGCACATACTGAGGAAGTGAGTGAGTACTGACTACACACTAATGACTACTCAGACTTCAGACTTGTGTTGGGAGTTGAGAGTTGGGTACTTGAGCTACTCAGTAATATATCTAAAGGTATGCTTGTTGACAAATTAGTGCACCGATATATAAACGTACTTGCGCTCATCCGGACCCAGGGCCTTGTTTTGTATTTTATTGACATCAAATTAAGCAAACTTAAAGAGTATATATATTATTTTATAAAAAGAAAAGAAAAACTATCTCACAGGAGGAAATAAACACACCTTTTTTGAAGAAGGTGGTCGACCGAGAGTCAGGACTCCACTAAATTTTGGACTTTGAACTTTGGACTTTGGACTTTGGAGGCCCTGGCGCACGCGGTCTGCTTTCTGAAATCTGAAATCTTGTGTGGGGGACAAACCGAAAACGGAAAATGTCGCAGACTCTCGGACTCGGAGACTCGAAGTCGCAACATATATATTTATGTTTGTTTTTGTCTTTTATTATATATTTTTATAAAATTAAAATAATAATAAACATTTGTTTTTATGTAGCCTTCTATTTTTTTTAGTCCTTTGAGACTTCGAGACTTGAGAGATGAAAGTCTGTGACGGTTTGACCTCTCTTGTTTTAGACAAATGTTTCAACAAAAAAAACCCCCCCTGTTTTTCTATTTTTAAAAACGAGCAAACCAAAAACAAAGAAGAAGACGGAGTCAATGGGTAATGTCATTGACTCTTTAGAGTTATTCATTACTATTTTTTAGAGATCACTCTATCTTTCAAGCACGCAGAAATGAACGAAACTTTATTCAATCAAAATGTGTGTAGGACAATGTACAAATATTTAAATAAATAATCAAGCAAGTATTTATTCTTAAGCACTTCTGATTAGGTCGCGAATGTCAACTATTAACTCTGTAGCTTTAAGGCTTTAGTGCCATACTAAATACTTGCATAGCAACCTTTGCTTTGGAATGCAAGAATCTTAAAACCGTAATTATTATTATTTCTAAATTTATATATATATATATATATATATATATATATATATATATAAAAGATAAAGATACACTTTACTGTTCCTGTGACTATGACTATACGACGCCCGTCACCATAAAATTAGTAACGGTCCAAAACCGCATCCGGTCCATTCGCAAAGGTAGGGTCGATATTTGTGGGCCCACCGGCCACGGAAGGCAACTTTGGCCCAAGTACCGAACTATTAAGTGTGAAAACTTGCAAAAAATAAATATCTTTAACGATACAGCAGTCAAGTATCAGTTTTCTGTACATAGTCTACACCTATCACCTTGCATGGTCCAGCGGAAGGCTTGGCGCAACAACTCCTTTGAAATAAATAATATTATCCCTATCACTTTGAATAGAATACAACACCTTAGACTAGAGGAGCCAATGTTCTGTTAAACCTGTAAGCGTGAATTCTTGGATTCATACTTCTGAATTTTATTAAAAAAAAATCGTTTCATAGCCTTAAATTATACAAGAGAAGAAAAGAGGGCTATGCAAAATATGATGGTTTGGTTTGCACAATTGCACTGTAGTTAAACAATGTAAACATTCTATTTACAAATGTGGGCGACTGGAAGGCAAACAGCGAAGCCGGAGGAAGTGCCGCATTGGAAGGCGGAAGCCGGAACTTTGGAAGGCAGCAGCCAATAGGGGGTAAATAGCACTTGGGTCTTAGGCTCTTGGCAGTGCAGTGAGCAGTCACTGGCTCACTGCAGTGTGCAATGTGCAGTTGTGCATTGTGCACTGGTCTCATATTTAACCCTTTATGAGTTTATAAAACGAATAGATTTTAATGCGTTAGCGCTAACTGTTTAACGTGTTCGGCATCTGGTTGACTAGTATACGACTAAGAGTCTAAGACTAAATAATGTTTTAGACTGCTGTTCGACAAATGTGAGCCAGGTATACGTTACATACATACTCTTTTTTACTTTAGCGTTAACGTTAACGTGGGGTGCCTGCGTCGACTGGGTGTATGTATACATTATGTATACATGTATACATAATGTATACACATGTATACATAGCCTCCGTGGCCGCTGTGGCGCCGCCGCGGCGCCAGGCGCCATGTGTCTATGTGACCCGGCTTTGTGATATTGCGGGATTGTGGGAGTCTGACAGCTGGCTGAAGTCTGAACTGTGTGCCAGTGTGAGTGTGACAGTGAATGTGGCGAGTGGTTTCTCAGACTGTGGGACAGCGAAACTCGGAAACTGCGAGCGACGAGTCGGCGACGCATCCTCTGCTGCTCTCAGACAGCACATAATATGCCTCATTTAGTCATTGAACATTGCATACAGGCCAGCCTTACGTACATCAAATTGTTTTTTGTTTTTAAATAGACCATATCTGCTCCCTACTTCTACGGCTACCTCTATATTTCTCTCTATGTACTTGAGTTATGTACTTGAGTAGAATATTCTGTATTTCATAAAAAATATACTGTTCTCTCTCTAGTCTCTATCGGAGTCCAGAATACAATAGTCTGTCTCTCGCTCAGTGGCAACTGGCATGGATCCACAATCCTGTCTCATGACCCTCACGGCCTCACATCCTCACACTTCCACTCTGAGGCTCAGTCTTCACTCTTCGGAGGTTCTTTTTGGTAATATTTCATGAGGCTATGCTTTTTTTGTCATTATTGTTGTGTATTTATTGTTGTGTAGATGTTGTTGTGCAAGTTTCGGTCTATTAAGGTGATATTAACGTCTTAGAGTAGTTAAACGCTTAGGTTAGGTCTAAGTATAGTCAAATTCGAAATAAATAAACGAAATGAGTCTTTTAGTAGAGTTAGGTATGCCTCGTGAAAAGTGCAATAATACTCTGAGTGATTGTGAGGCTGAGACATTGCCTATATATAATCCTCTCAGTACTTTTTTCGCCGAAGGGATTTTATTAAGTGTTTCGTTGTCGCTCTTATTGAAACTATGATATGTTTCGTTGGGGAGAATCCGAGAGACTCGTAAAATCCTATCTTTAGAAGAAGAAGAAAAATACTCTTGATGTCCATAGTAATTGCATTAACCAATAACTTGTCACTTATCATGAATTACCAATGTCTTAGCCTTCATCAGACTGGCACATCTGGTTGGCTAAACGAAGGTTAAACTGTAATAAGCCGGGCCTCCACATTAGACTCTATGTATAAACGTACTCTTAAGCAGTACGCAAATTATAAACGTACTATTAATAGTACGAGGAACTTAAGTTTCCTAAATGTACTCTTAATAGTACGGGAAACTTAAGTCTCCTAAATGTGCTCTTAATAGCACGAGGAACTTAAGTTTCCTAAAATGGTTTTTAATGGTTTTATTAATTAAACCTTTTCCATTTTACATATCAGATATTTGGATGAGACCATT